AGGGTGAAGCAGAAGGGGTTTGAACAGCATTTATCAGGGACTGAGAGTCTGAGATTGTACTGCACTTGCAAGTAAACAAGCCTACCACAGTTCCATAGCTACTGACAGAAGACACCAGACTCCTGTGCCAGAGGCCAAGGACTTTCTTACAACTGCAGTAGCCAGAGAGAGGGCATTCCCTAACCCCTGCTCCCACGGGCAACATGAAGATTCTCAGTGGAGAGCTGTATTATGAGAGAGGACCCTGAGCTTAAGGAGTGCTATTTTTTTGTACTGGGCAGTAAGTATGTCTATCTTTTCTCCAGACAGACACTATCTCTTCTAAATCTATTCATTACACATTTTTTTTTTGAGAGATTTTCGCTACAGGGCGCGTGCACTCACCAGACAGAGAGGCAGAGAGATAGAAAGCAAGAAATCACTCCCCTAGGGGGAATGGCCACGCCGCAATCCCTTCTCCTCCATTCTCTTCTCGGGATCTTGGGTACGCATGCACACAAGCTCGGCGTGAGTCTCAAGCCACCAGGTCCAGGACACGAACTGTGGTCGACTACATGGGAGTCCAGCGACATAGCCATTACGCTAACTGCTGGTCCCCACTATACATTCTTTAAAAAATAGTTTGGAAAAAAAGCAGACTTTTGGGAAAGATGGATAGAAACCACACAAAAGTAGAAATGAAAAAAAATATTTGCCACAAGCTGTCATTTCTTGAAAATGGATATATAAAATCTTGAGAAGTAACTTAATCCACAGACCAGAGAATGGGAAATTAAAAAAAAGGTTATTCTTTCTTAAAATCAAATGGTAGACTTATCGACTGACTCTGGTATACGAGGTGAAAACATCTCAATTTAGGGCATTCTAAACCTTGTTTTGGCTTCCCTCTGTACTGAAGGCCAGCGTCCGGCCCAGAGGCTGACCCCCAGTGGATGGCAGAAGCAAACTGCTGCTGGTTCACAGGAGGATCATGATTCATTCCACAGTTTCAGCAAACTTTTTGGTTTTTTTTTTCTTTCATAGCATTTTCCTTTTTCAAATTCCTTGTGGAAGGTTGTTACAGCAGCACAGGAGACATGCAGGCCACACTCCTGCACTCCGATGGGCAGAGAGCTTCTCTTCTGCTCCGCCTTTTCCTCCAGCAATAACTGCCCATGCATGCCCTATTCTCCTACCCAGAGGAGCAGCTTAACCAGCAATGAAGAACACCACAGGCCTGGCATTCAGACCTGAATTACATCACTTCAAAATTTCAACAGCGTTTTTTTCTGCTTTACCTCCATTTTCACCAATCAATATAACTCCTGTGGCTGAATCGTTCCAAAAGACTTGAAGGCAGTCAATAAAGTCTGCCCCATTAATGTAATGACCTCCAATATTAACACAGACTGCCTCAATCCAACTTGTCTGAACTGCTTCGTAAGTCAGCCTGCCAGATCTGGACACATACCAATCTGTCCTCCCTTGTGATTATGGCCAGGCATGAAACCAATTTTGCATTCTCCGGGACCAATGACTCCAGGGCAGTCTGGCCCGAATGGGTTTGTCTCTTGCTGGCACAGCAGTTGGACCTGCACTGTGTCCTGCTGTGGGACGCCTTCAGTAATGCACAAATGAGGGTACTTCTGCCTCAGTGGTATCGTTAGCAGCAGCAGCAGCAAAAGGAGGGGGGATTTAAACGATAGACGCCACCACTCCTGTTCTTGGCCTTCCCCACACTACTGAAGATTGGTAAGCCCAGGGACCAGCAGTTAGCGTAATGGCTATGTCACTGAACTCCCATATAGCCGACCGCAGTTCGAGTCCCGGACCCGGTGGCTTAAACTCACGACAGACATGTGTGTGTGCATGCCCAAGATCCCAAGAGGAGAATGGAGGAGAAGGGATTGCAGCATGGCCATCCCCACTGGGGGGTGATTTCTCGCTTTCTATCTCCCTGTCTCTGTCTCTCTGGCGAGCACACGCGCCCTATAGCAAAAAAAAAATTCTCCAAAACAAAAGATTGGTAAGCCCAGATGCGTCTTGACTCCTTTCCCCTGTGGCTCCGACAAATTCGGTGCCTTAATCCAACACCTGTTGGCTATGACAGGTGCCCTGTTTACCTGGCAAATAACCTTCACATTTTTATCAACGCAGAGATGTTTCCCAGAAGCTAGATCTATAGAAACAACCTGAATTCCATTCTGCTGCAGGAAGGTGTGTGACAGGAGTTAAGCAGCACTGAGGCCTCTGCTGCCGGAGCTCTACTCCGCTTCTTAAAAAGAAAGATGATAGGGACCAGCAGGTGGCGTGGTTAAGGCACTGGGTTCCCACATGGCCAATTGCTATTCGAAGCCCAGACCCAGCAGCCTGAAAAAAATCACACTGGGCACATATGCATGTGTATCCAAAATCCTAAGTGGAGAATAGAGAAAGGAGTGTGGAATGGTCAACCCCTGAGAGGTGCCTTCCCTCTCTTGCTCTCTCTCACTCTCTCTGTCTGGCAAGCACATGAAACCTGTAACAAAAACAAAACAAACAAAAAAATCAACTAAAATAAAATATATTCTGGTTGTAAGATATTAGGGGTGGGAGTGCAGCTACAATGGAGTACTGTGGATGGGAGAATTCAGAGAACAGAACAGAACTTTTCTATAATCTGTTTGTGCTAGTAGTTACCTGAATCTATAACAAAATTAAAGGAACTGAGGGCCAAAGGAAAGTCTGTTTTACTATAAATTAATTAAAAAGATAAAATGTAAAGAGGACCAAAGTCTCCAAAGTGTTAACTTTTATAAAGACAAAAAAAAAAAAGAAAAAGCTATGGAAAGACCCTAGACTAAAGGAGCCTGAAGAGACATGACATCAGATGTGACACCCGATCCTAGGCTAATCCCACACTGGAAGAGAAAAAATGCCATAACTTCCATTATATTAACAGGTAAAGCAAGTATCCCTGAAGTTTGTTTTAAGTTTACTGAAAATCTAGAAAATAAAAATGATCGTAAATTGTTCCTTTGATCCTGTCTACATGTATTTGTGAAGGGCCTGCTATGAAAAGGCAACGTACAAGATGGAGACTAGGCAGAAGGGACCAGCAGTTAGCGTAATGGCTATGTCGCTGGACTCCCACCTAGTCGACTGCGGTTCAAGTCCCAGACCCAGTGGCGTAACCTTACACCAGGCACATGTGCGTGCGTGCCCAAGATCCCGAGAGGAGAATGGAGAAGGGATTGCAGTGTGGCCATCCCCCCTGGGGGGGGATTTGTTGCTTTCTGTCTCTCTGTCTCTCTCTGTCTGGCCAAGTACATGTGCCCTACAGCAAAAAAAAAAAAGAAAAGAAAAAAACCTTTCCCAAAAAAAGGCAGAAGAAATGCCTCCTCTCCTCAAGGCTGCTCAGTCTTCAGTTTTCCAGTACTGTCTGCCAAACCATTTATTCATTTTTCTCTGGAAGTATTTGTGGTCCTAAGAACATTAAAATTTTCGGTGGCTCCCAGGAGTGTTTTCTAAAAGTTGTCTGAGATCATCTTCCTAGTCCCACAGGAAAGTCACTCCTTTTCCAAAAGTGTGCAATGTCCAGATTTAGGGGCATTTTCTCAAACCATCTCATTACCGAGATGGATGATCTTTTCCAAATCGGAAAACTCTCCCTTCAACAACAGCTGTACACCTCCGGCCAGCAGGTAGGTGGTGGCGAAGGCAATGGGCTCCCACTCGGCAGACTAGTTTGTTCAGACTCGGTGATGTGAAAGCACACCAGGTGTGTCCCCGTGTGCCCAGTATCTCAGGATGGGAAGGGAGAAGGGACTGCAGCATGCTCTTCTCCGGGGCCCCCAGATTTCTCCCTTTCTGTCTCTACCTCTCAGGTGAGCACAGGAGCCCTATGGGAGAAAAATGTACACTGTTACTTGTAACAGGAAACTCCAGTGCTAACTAGCTCACTGAACAGTTGACCGACCGACTGACCGACCGCCGCCTGCCTGGGACCGCGGTGCCATTCCTGAGCTGCGTGCTACTGTAGCGGGAAATGGCCAGCGCCACCTGGGCTGCACGCTTCAGTCACCTCCAGAGAAAGCATGTCACTAATCCAAAAACACTGACTGCACGTGGCAGCCTCCCGGGCTATCCGCTGCAGATCCCGTGCCACCCTGAAGCTATCCCAACCAGTCAGGGGCGACTCGCTGCCAAGGAGCTTGGGTGGCCGCCACCAGGCAGACATGCACGGTGATCAGCTCCAGGGCTCCCCCCCCCCCCCCGCCACTCACTCCACTCATTCTGTGACTCGAGCGGCGGCTCCACACCGTTCAGGCAGCTTCACACTACAAAACTGAGCTACTGGCAGTCCTCAAAAATCCGCTGAAAATGTTCTATGAAAACCCTACAAGAGGTTTCCATTTTTTCCCTGCGTCGAACTACACTGATACTTTAACTCACTTCTCCAAGCACTGTGTCGCGTTCTCGTTTTGCTGGGGCTCGCTG